TGTGTTATAGCTTTAGATGTAGTCTAATATTGTTGTATTAGAGCTTAGATTTAGCTTACTAATGTTATTGTTTTAGATCCTAGTTTCTATTCGGGTGTTATAGGTTTACATGTAGTCTACTAGTGTTATTGTTTTAGATGCTAGTCTGTACTCGTGTGCTACAGCTTTAGTTGTACTCTACTTGTTATTGCTTTAAACGCTAGTCTTTATTCGTGTGTTATAGCTTTAGATGTAGTTTACTAGTGTTTCTGTTTAATAGTAGTCTCTACTCGTGGGCTATAGCTTTAGATGTAGTCTACTAATGTTATTGTCTTACATGCTAGTCTCTACTCGTGTGTAATAGCATTAACTGTAGTCCACTAGTATTATTATTTTATATGCCAGTTTCTACTCGTGTGTTATTGCTTTAGATGTAGTTTATTATTATTAATGTTCGGTATGCTAGTTTATACTTGTGTGTTATAACTTTAGATGTAGTCTGTTAGTGTATTATTTTAAATTCTATTCTCTACTCGAGTGTTATAGCTTTTGCCGTAGTCCACTGATGTTATTGTCTTATATGATAGTCTCTATTCGTGTATTACAGCTTAGATTTAACTTACAAATGTTATTGATTTAGATGCTCGTTTTTACTCGTGTGTTATAGCTTTAGTTGTAGTCTAGATGCTAGTCTTTATTCTTGTAGTATAGCTTAGATTTAGCCTACTAATGTTATTGTTTTATATGCTAATCTTTATTCGTGTGTTATAGCTATAGATGTAGTCTACTAGTGTTACTGTTTTAGATGGCAGTCTCTACTCCTGTGTTATAGCTTTATTTGCGGTCTGCTAGTGTTATTGTTTCATATGTTAGTCTTTACTCATGTGTTATAGCCTGAGTTGTAGTCTATTAGTGTTATTGTTTTAAATGCTAGTCTCTACTCCTATGTTATAGGTTTAGCTGTAGTCCATTAGTGGTATTGTTTTAAACGCTAATTTTACTCGTGTGCTATAGCTATAAATGGTTAGAGTTTTAGATGATAGTCTCTACTTGTGTTTTATAGCTTTAGATGTAGTCTACTACTGTTATTGTTTTAGATGCTAGTCTGTACTCGTGTGCTACAGCTTTAGTTGTACTCTACTTGTTATTGCTTTAGACGCTAGTCTTTATTCGTGTGTTATAGCTTTAGATGTAGTTTACTAGTGTTTCTATTTTACATAGTAGTCTCTACTCGTGGGCTATAGCTTTAGATGTAGTCTACTAATGTTATTGTTTTACATGCTAGTCTCTACTCGTGTGTAATAGCATTAGCTGTAGTTATAGGTTTAGATGTAGTCTACTAGTGTTATTGTTTTAGATGCTATTCTGTACTCGTGTGTTATAGCTTGATTTGAAGTCTACTAGTGTTATTGTTTTCGATAATAGTCTCTATTCGTGTGTTATTGCTTTAGTTATAGTCTACTAGTGTTGACTATATTCTTGACTGTATATATGCTTGATATATCTTGTATTGCAGCTTAGATTTAGCTAACTAATCTTATTGTTTTAGATGCTAGTTTCTACTCTTGTGTTATATATTTAGATGTTGTCTGTTATTGTTTTAGATAATAGTTTCTTCTCGGGTGTTATACCTTAAATTGTATTAAACATGTGCTATTGTTTTAGATGTCATTCTGTACTCGTGTTTTATAGCTTTATCTGTAGTCCATTAGTGTTAGTCTCTATTCGTGTATTACAGCTTAGATTTAGCTTACTAATGTTATTGTTTTAGATGCTAGTGTCTACTCGTGTGTTATAGCTTGAGTTGTTGTGTAAACGTGTTACAGTTTTAGATGCTAGTCTCTACTCTTGTGCTATAGGTTGAGTTGTAGTCTGGTAGTGTCATCGTTTTAGATGCTAGTCTCTACTCTTGTGCTATAGGTTGAGTTGTAGTCTGGTAGTGTCATCGTTTTAGATGCTAGTCTCTACTCTTGTGTTATAGTTTTAGTTGTAGTCTACTAGTGTCATCGTTTTAGATGCTAGTCTCTACTCTTGTGCTATAGGTTGAGTTGTAGTCTGCTAGTGTCATCGTTTTAGATGCTAGTCTCTACTCTTGTGTTATAGTTTTAGTTGTAGTCTACTAGTGTCATCGTTTTAGATGCTAGTCTCTACTCTTGTGTTATAGTTTTAGTTGTAGTCTACTAGTGTCATCGTTTTAGATGCTAGTCTCTACTTGTGTTTTCTAGCTTTAGATGTTGTAAATTAGTGTTAGTGTTTTAGATGTTAGTCTCCACTCGTGTATTATAGCTTGATTTGTAGTCTACTAGTGTTATTGCTTTAAATGCTAGCCTTTACCTGTGTGCTATAACTTTAGACGTAGTCTACTAGTGTTCTTTTTACATGCTTGTCTGTATTCTTGTATTGCAGTTTAGATTTAGCTAACTAATGTTATTGTTTTAGATGTTAGTTTCTACCCTTGTGTTATAGATATAGATATTGTCTGTTATTGTGTTAGATGATAGTTTCTTCTCGTGTGTTATACTTTTAGTGGTATTAAACCTCTATTCGTGTATTACAGTTTAGGTTTAACTTACCAATGTTATTGTTTTAGATGCTAGTTTCTACTCGTGGTATAGCTACTATAGTTATTGTCTTAAATGCTAGTCACTACTCGTGTGTTACAGCTTTTGATGTAGTGTTATTGTTTTAGATGCTAGTCTCTAATCGTGTGGTATAGCTTTAGTTGTAGTCTACTAGTGTTATTGTTTTAAGTGCTAGTCTCTACTCGTGTGTTGTAGCTTTAGTTGTAGTCTACCAGTGTTATTGTTTTAAGTGCTAGTCTCTACTCGTGTGTTATAGCTTTAGTTGTAGTCTACCAGTGTTATTGTTTTAAGTACTAGTCTCTACTCGTGTGTTGTAGCTTTAGTCGTAGTTTACTAGCATGCCATAGGTTTAGTGCAGTATATTCGAGTGTAGATTTAATTTTCTTTATGATATTTTCACTGGAAAGAAAATGTGTTCATTGTTTTTGACGTACTGTACGTTTTCGTGTAAATATGAAAATATTACTTACTCCTCTGCTACAGTGGGTAGCGGAAAGAGTTCTTCATATTCTTTTACAGACTGAGTTATTGTCATATTGTTGATTTTCGAGAGTGCGCTTCAGTGCAAGAATAAGAAGTAAGAAGTGGGGAATGAGATTCCCGAGAATGCTAACTGAGGAAAATATGTTTACTACTCTGAACACTTGTGCTTAAAATTGATTCAACTACCGTAGTAAAAACCCTCAGTCTCTATTGATTTATATTGTCTTTGGAGATGTGCTCAGTTTAGAGAAAGGCAGCAACGATGTTTTTGAGAAGATAAATACAAATGAATGATAATTTTGCTTTATCTTATAATTTTTACTCAAAGGGTTGTCTGCGCATAACCGTCCCTGATTTTGAACGGATGGACTTGAGAGAAGGTAGCTAGTTAATAACACCCACCGTCAATTCTTGGGCATCTCTTCTACGACGTAGTAGTGGGACTTGACTTATTACGAACTCATTGCCAAACAGTTTTACACCCACGAACCATGAACCCTCGGATTCATAGTCCTAGTATGCTAACTACTAGGTCACGCAACACCGTAAAAATTAAAAAATCGCTCATGTTGAAAAATAAAGTGATAAAAAATTCATCAAGATCGTTCTTCTCTTTTACACTCAGAAGTTCCACGGTTGATAATATAACGGATGATAGTATTTCAATATTTTCACACAAGTACTCCCCTGGCCTGGACAGAGTTGAAATTAATCCGGTCGAATCCTGAACAATTTCTTTCTTTCATTATTTTCATAGAGGTACTCCACTGGATTCAACAATATTAAAACTAGTTTGAGACTTTAATGATCCAAACAATAACGAAGGACACGATGTGTATTCTTATCGTGACCTTCACTATAATCTGGAACATTATCACATGTACCTACTGTGAACTTGACCTTTGAATCATATATGCCTCCTGAAGATGTCAAAATGCCACCTTATTCACACTACATAATGGTCATTATTACTATATGTATCTGCTGTTTCTTTACTTAAAAGAGTAGCCCAAGAGTTGGCAGTGGGCAGTGTTAACTAGCTGTCTTCCCTCTACTCTATCACTTCTAAATTAGAGACAGATAGCAGAGATAGTCCTAAAGTAGATTTGCGCGAAATTTAACAAACAAAGAGATTCTTAGATGAATTCAGATATTCTGGTCAGCGAGACAATTATATGAAACGACTCTGTTACAAGTGTATTCAAAATATAATCAAGAAATGTACTGTTTTTTAAGTCTTTAGGAAGACCACGTATTTCATGTACGCTTTTAAATTCTAAAAAGCAAATAAAAAAGATAAGAGACACAGAAAATGGCTTGACATTTAAAGGTTGTAAACCATGCAAGTTCATACAGAAAGTGGCATGATATTAAACTTGATCTTCAAAGACTGGAATAAAATCTGACGTATACATTTAGTTACACTAGAAGGGAGGATAAATAGGATTAAAACCGGAAAAGAGCGAGTGGTTACTGTTGTGAAAGTGGATTGAGAGTGCTAGATAAACTAGCTACAAACCATACTAAGATTTTTTCACGAAAATAAGGTGTTTGTTGGACTTGGCACTAGCCACATCGAACCATTGAGTTCCATGTTAACTCGAAATTTTCACATATGAGATTTGCCAGTGTAATATCTGAAAACATCGTCTAAAATTTAGTTCAACTAGACAAAAAAAATATAATAATATTAGAAACTATAAGAAACTAAGGAAGGTTTTTCAAGGGGCTTCAGCTAAGTTATATATTTATAACAGTAATATACACCAAAAGTTTTCTGTTAGTAGATATGATTAATTTATAAAACTATACCAAACATATGTAACAAAGGATTTTTTAGAAAACTCATACGTCTACGAATTACATATAAAGTAAGTTAATTGAAATCTCAGAGTTATGGTTAAGAACATCCAGTATTATTAGTATTATAACTTTAAAAAATCAACAAAACATTACCTAGGTTACTATTATTCACTCGATGTTGGTCCATATGGTTTCGCAGCGCCCTCAATCGACGAAGTTTCTGCTCTTGACCTTCCACCTTTTCTCGTAAATGTAGCAGCCTAGTTCGTTCTGTAGTTTGTGCCCCCCGGTAGTGTTTTACTTCTTGCTGTTTCAAAAATTTTAGGCGTTGTTCCTTGGCCACTAAGAATTGTTGTTGAGCTTCAATTTGTTGTTGCTGGCGTGCTGCCATCTGGCGGAGCTCGGAAAATGTCAGTTCCGCCCCTTCTGGCAACTAGAAACAAAAAAAACATTGCATGAATACAAATGAGTTGTATAAGTTGTTATAACACCAAACACGTGTGCTTTAATAAGTAAATATAAAACATGCACTGGTATTTTTGTTAATTTACCTCAGATGTTACATGATTTATGCGACCTATATATATTATAGTATAAATCTTGAAATGTCAAAAATGCTGAACACAAGAAACGGATTCTGATCTTGAAATTACTGAACGATAAATTAAAGTTTTCCAAAGTTAAATCACACTTAGTTTGTGAGATAACAACGAAAAACGGTTGGAATTTCGAATGCAATTACGTGTTCGATGGGTAGGCTTAGAGAGAGACACGTAGTGTGATCCTTCGGAACTCCAATTTGTTCTATCAATTCCTACATGACTAAAAAAATGAAGAGATAAAAATGTTCGAAAATATTTTTCTATAGATAAGCGGAAGAGGTTACGTTTCGTCTCAGTGAAACGTTAGGCAGTAAAATGGGTTGTTGGGTGTTGTTTAAAGGACAGCAAATGTCTTTGCAAAAACTCCTGAGTCAGTTACTGCCCTTAAGCAACGTTTTTCTACGGTTGGTTTTTACCGTTTTAATAGGTATAGAAGAAAAATCTCAGTCTACCATATTATTCTAAAATTAAAGTGATTAGAACCGTTTCTGTACTCATACCAGTTTGATCAGACTACTTGCACTTGTTTGTGTGAAATTCCGAGATCCAGTTTTATTAAATGCAAATAATTGGGCGGTACAGCAATTTGCCAAGATCTATATAACGGGAAAGGTTTGAGTCTGTTTGTTAAGACGACCTGAAAATTAATCTTCCTTTTTTTAACTGTAGGTAAAGTGCTGTCCGTAATTATTTTGCGTTAAAATATATTTCACTCTTATACCACTGTTTTTTTCCCCATACCCATAAACTTATAGTGAATATTGTGAACTCAGTTTCACGAGGTAGCAAAATTTTTTTTTTACACGTTATTAATGGGAGAAGACTGTTAACCCAGATCGAAAACACATTTTTTACACGTTTTAATGAGAGAAGACTGTTAAACCAGATCGAAAACACATTTTTTTTTACACGTTATTAATGGGAGAAGACTGTTAACCCAGATCGAAAACACGTTTTTGTCTTTATATTTCTACAGAGTGTGCCAAAAGTCAGAATAAAATTTATATTATTATTAACCTGTTTTCCCTTGACTTTTATTTGTTCAGACCTGAAACAGTTGGTTGTTAGAGGATTTTAAACATGGCCATCCCTAAATTGTAACACGTAGACTAGAGGAAAAATCATTTAATCAACAGCACCCACCGCCAACTCTTGGGGCTACTCTGATAGGATTTAACAGTCACGCTCACAGGCCCAAAGTGAAAGGCGCGGTTATGCGGCAATGGAATGCGAATCATGGACCCGTGGATTCACAGTCCGGCATGTTAACTCCTGGTTACATCCGGCCCATTTGAAACAGAGAACTTGGTATATTACTCATCGATTCTGGACTTTTGACACTTAATAGTTTAATCTTTAAAGTTATAATTGTTTGTATTTCTTTTAATTAATGTTGTTATGAAGACACTTTAAGAGCATATACGTAATACAGTGAATTTATATGCTTCTTATATGCAGATAGTTTAAGAGCATATACATAATACAGTGAATTTATATGCTTCTTATATGAAGAGTTTAAGAGCATATACTTAATACAGTGAATTTATATGCTCATGTGCTCGACTCAACAACACTCTCTCTCTGTCCGCAGTTCAATTACACATTGTTCCCGTCGCTTCTTGGCCGGTCTTATATATACAAGACTACCCCATATCTAGTAGTCTCCCGACGCTTCATGAACGTTCTAGAAGTGCGTGGCTTGTTACTAGCGTCACGTGACCTCCGCTGTCATAACACTGCCCCTTCCTTAGTATTGTTCGTCCCGAACAATAGCCACTTACATTAAACCAATAAACAATTAACAATAACTTAATTAAATGTACAGAACTTACAAACACAAAATTACAATTCAACAAAGTCTCTTAATTTTACGGGACGTATCTTCTTCCGTACTGGTCTCCGTCTCGTTGGCTTCTGCTTCATGTGGGGTTCATCTGCTTCATCAGGAAATGTCCTATCATCGGTAACAGTCACATCAGTGGTAGTAACTTCATCAAGGGCTTCACTGTTTCCCTTCTCAAAACTGAGTAGAGTTTCTTCTTCGGCAATGGCTTTTTCAGGTGACACATCTTCAGCAGCGTCATTTGTTCTGTTGTTCACTTCGTCCCAACTGAAATGTCCTGGACCGTGATAATGCCAAAGCCTGTTGGCATGCACCACCTTTGGCTTACCTCGCCGACCACATTTTATCCAGAACGTCACGTCTGAGAGACGATTCACTATGTCATTTGGGCCTTCCCATGGAGAAGACAACTTAGGAGACTTCCTTCCTGGGATTATACAACCACATCTTGTCTGCTGGTTCAAAGCTGACTTCAATAGATCTCTTATCATAAG